TCTCTAGGTAGCTCGAGTCTCAGGCCCCAGGGACTCAGGTCCCTCCTGGAGTATGTGGAGCTCCAGCTTATTAATCACATGCCATGTGGCCCTTAACTTGTGTTATGGGCTGAATTGAGTCCCCCCCGCAAATTCATACATTGACGTCCTAACCCCCAGGATCTCAGAATGGGACTTTATTTGGAGACAGGGTCTTTAGAGAGGTGATCAAGTTAAAGGGGGTGGTGAAGGTGGGCCCTAATCCAATATGGAGTTCTTAGAAAAGAGGGAAATTTGGAAACAGACCCACCACACAGAGAGGATGCCATGAAGGAGGTAAGGGCCGAGATTGGGCTGGTGCTTCTACACGCCAAGGAATGTGAAAGAATGCCAGCAGACCACGGAAGCTGGGGGAGAGGCCTGGAGTGGATTCCTGGTCTTGAACTTCTAGCCTCTAGAACTGAGAGACACAAATTTCTGTTGTCGAAGCCACCCAGTCGATGACCTTTTGTTATGGCAGTCCTAGCAAATGACTACAACTTGGGATTCTCTATTTTTCTTGTCTTCCTGTTATGGTTTCTCCCTCCCCAACCTTCTGGTGTGTCTCCTTAGATTAGACCAGGCTCCAGAGCCAGTCTGTGTTCCACTCAAAAGCTCTGCCATCCATTTCCTCGTTGTGTGTCCCTCAGCTCTCTGTGCCTCTGCTCCCTCATCTATAGAATGGGAATAATAACGTAATACTGACCTCGCAGAATAACTGGAAGAATTGGCGTGAAGCCTGCCCTGACCATGAGGAGTGTGCAGTCACCACACACTGTTGCAGTCTGCAGCCTTCCCCTCCGGGACCGTCTGCTCCAGGGACACCCTGTGGTGCTGGCACTGATGTAACGGCTGCAAGTTATGAGAAGACCTTGTTTCCGTTCAGCCTCACCACTCCTGGGACTTTATTATCTAATTGAGACATAAAACACTTGCAGGGACTGTTTACAGAGCGAGGGCTTGTGTAATTACAGGATCACAGGATCACTGTGCAGGTTCCATCAAGCAGGTCTGGACCCGGCAGCACACGAGACCCCACTGCGGGGGTGAAGGTGGGGGGGACGGATTTGAAAATAGACCACTGCCTGGCCCTTTTCCCCAGACCAGTTGCACAGAATTTCTGAACCCTGAGTGAAGTGATGAACCCATCTGTGCTTTAATTTCCTCATCTGCAAAATTATGGTGATCCTTGTGGCCCCTTCAAAGGGTTGTGGTGAGAACTGATGCGTCTAAGTGCTTGAAACAGTGCCCACCGCATACAAACACTCAAGAAGTGTGAGCCCTTGTTGGTAACTAAATATTCAAACATTATACCCAGTAGACTCTGTTCCAGCCTTACACATGTTTGTTGATTTCCATTTGCTTGAAAAACTCTGAGAATGACTGTCTCCAATGGCCCTCTCCTGTAAGGGCTGTGGCAGTTCCACAATCCTGGTTGGTGAGGAGGATTGTCTGGCTAGGGGACTGTGTCCACGGAGCAGAAGCAGGAGGAGAAGGAGGACATCTTCTGGCTTGCCATTTGAGGCCCGCCATGCTTTAGCAGATGTCAAGCAGCACACAATATTGAATCTTGATTTTAGGTCTGGCTCCTCATTGTTTTCTTTTGTCTCCTTCCTTTTCCTCACTTCCTGTGCTTCCCTTTCTCTCTCCTGGTTCTCAAGCAATGTTTAGAGTCTAAGACAAAGACCTGGGCTCAGGGGCTGGCCCTGCCACTTGCCAGCTGTGCAACTGCGGGTGAGGTTCTCCACGTCTTTCAGCTTCTGTTTCTTCATCCTTATAGATCAGAAAAGAAAAGTCTCTTTTTTAAGTGCCTCTGTTTTGATATTTAAACGGAAGGCTGAGAAGCACTTTTGCCACGGTGGAGCGTGATCAGTAAATGTCATTCATGATCACTTAGGTGGCCTGCCTCTAGGGGTGACGTTCGCGGCCAAAGAGTGCTCTTGGTGGCTGGGTCTCAGAGCCCATCTTGGGGTGAGACGGTGTCAGCCCTGCTAAGGTGGCAAGGATAGGACGGCCCTGATGAGCGTGGCCTTCATAAGACTCTAGCTGAGGTATCATTTCTTGCTCAAGAACCTCAGGGCTCCAGCCAGCACCACCTGCACCCTCAGGCTTTGAAAAAACACAGCAACAATAGCTGTGGGGGCCACGCGATACTCTCTTATCTTCCACCGTTGATCTGTGCCAGCACAATCAATTCTTCCACTGTCTTGTTTGGTAACTTGGAAACTGTGCTGAGCATCTGTGATAACCATTTTGGCTGGAACCAACATCCTTTTGGAGGTGAGGAGGGAAAAAAGGAAAGTGATGTGACATGGACAAGGGACAGGCGAGTCTAAATTTTGGCAGAAGTGGATTGAGTTTTTGAAAGCAGGCAACTAGAAAGAGAATATTGTTCCAGCTCCTTCTTTTTTCTTTGTTCTCTGGGCCCACGTTTCCAAGAGCTTTAATTTTCAAAACTGCAACAAGAAAGTGTATTAATCTTAAATGTCTCCCATTAATCACCAAGTCCAGCCCAGGGGTGAGACAAAGACGACCCACTTGCACAGTTGATTTCCTGGTAATGGAGGGTCAAGGCCTGCCCTTACATTTCCCCTCTGGTCTAGCTATTGGAGAAAGCTTCCCCTTAGGAAGTCCCCATCCTGGAACAATTTTGCAAGGGAAAATTGCAGACAGGAATAGCCCCTGACATGACAATATTTCTCCTAGGGAAACAGGTGAGCAGAATAGCATCGTGATTGTAAATTCTGGCCTTACCTCTGAGAATGGTAGGATTAAATTAGAGAACTAAATAAAGTAGGCAATTCAATGTGTGACGTATTAAGAAGTCTGCAATAAATAGTCAGTATTTGCTCTACCCCTTCTAGGGGAGGCACTATGCTGAGCATATAACGTTTACCGTCATTTGATCTTCATCATATTTTATGTGTCAGGTACCATCATTCTCCCCTGGTTTACATATAGGGCAACCAAGAGACTAAGTAACTTGCCCAAGTCACACAGCTAGTAAAGATGGAACCAGGATTTTCCCCCATGTTGTTACAGTATATTATTGTGGAATTATGCACCTTCTACCCCAGTGACCACTGGGGTCCTTGCAAGCATATTAGTAGTGACTGAGCCATAAGGCAATGAGTGCCCTGCTTTTGCTGATCAACCCCTGAGTTCTTCTCTAGAAACTGAGAATTCTACAGCTTTAGTAGGTAAGAGTACAGGGGTTGCTTTAGCACGCCCAGGCAGCATTCCAGGGGTTAAGATGCGCTTTAAAAGATTTTAAAGGGATGCCCTTTTCTGGCCCTGGCAAATTTCATCTCATAAATGTCAGTTAAGCTGCTCGGTTGCCCAGCAGGCGGTCTGTCCCAGATTCCTCATCAGTGCTGCGTCATGAGGGATGCGAAGGATGTGGTGTGGGCTCCACAGAGGGGCCAGTCCAGATGTGCAGCCTTAGGGGCTGGGGGAGGGCTTCCAGAACCTGAGAGTAGTGCTGAGGAGCGGCTTCAGACTCTGCGAATACTCTGAGCAGTGAATAGGTGAGTTCTTTTTCATATGGTGGAAGAGAGCCCTACCCTCTAAAGAAGTTTGCAGAGCTGCGAGTCTAACAGTTTCTATACAATGCCTGTGTCCCACAGGCAGAATCTAGAAAAACCCCATGGGATCAGAATGGCCCAATTTGGAGACTCCTAAGCCAATCTTTGGTCACCCTACAAGCCATTCTGTCTTCACGCGGTTGCGTGTGGGTAGGGCTGAGCAGAGAGCGTGTTCAGAAACACCTTAATGATGTCAGGACACTTTTCATTGCTCATTTATCACTTAACAGCTCAGATTTGTAATGTGCTACCCATGGTCTCCCTTTAGCACAGACAATGCAGTCTTTCAACAGTGTGCGGCTCAGTGGGAAGAACTCTGCTGAAAGCAGAGTGGTGGTGCCTGCAGCCTGCCCCTTTGGGGAGGAGGGGTGTGTGGGGGCAGGTGGGGACCAGATGCCTGGCTGCAGCCGGGCTGGGGGATGAGCACATGGAACAGCCACTTCTGGATCCACTTACTCATTTCTCTGTGCTGAAAGGTGTCATATAAATGCTAAATAGAACAGAGAGAGCTGGGGCCCATTTATTTGCATTTCGTCTAATGTGAGCAGATGCAGATAGAAAAGCAGCTTAGCCACGGCCGTTCACCTGCCCCACCAGCCCTAAGGTCTTCGGTCCGTTTCAATGTAGCCCATGTCAGTTCCGCTCCAGGGCTGCAGCAGACGTGGTGGGGGCACAGAGGGGCACACGCCTCTGTCCTCAGTGGGTTTACATAACTTACTGGGGAGACAAGTTTAACCACAGGAACCAACCGGGGACAATACATCCCAGCATATGGTGAAGTGGTAAGTCGTGGAGGCAGATGACGTGCTGGAGGAGACCACGGAAGAGAGAGCACCGTGCATGCTGGCTGGGCAGCAGGCCTTCTCGGGGCGCGGGGGCTGGACTTGCCCTAGGAAGGCGGCCAGGGAGTCGCTGGGCAGAGATGGGGAGAGGAGACAATCTCAGCCCTTGGCAGGACCTTCATATCTCTGCTCTCCTGCCAACACGCCTCCCTCGGCCTCCTCCCTTTGGAAGGTTGGGTCCTCCTCATCTTTTAGGGCTTGGCTTACATGTCACGTTTCCAAGAGGTCTTCCCTGGCTGGTGTGTCTAACAGCAGCGCTCTCCACGGCACCGTCCTCTATCACTGTGTTCTATTTCTTCCTCCCTCCACTGAACACAGTGAGTAATTAGTATTTGCTCGTTGCTGTCTCCCCATTGGATCATACCCATCTCACAGGCAGGGACCCTGGACATCTGTTTCATTCAGTGTTGTCATCACACACAAGCACATCTCTTGGGCTGACAGGGTGCTCAGTAAATACTTGTTGAATGAATGAGTGACATTTTGAGGAGAGCTTCATTTAGCAAATATATTTGTTGGAATCCAATTGAATCCAAGCTCTTGTTCTATATTCCAGGAAGAAAATCCATAGATGCCGTAGTGCTGGCCCGGAGCTGGGTGTCTTTCGGGACAAAGAGTTCTCATTACGACACACAACAACAACAAAGCAAGAACAACAGAGCAGTGGATGTAACCATGCCAGGCAAGCCTGCATGTTAAGAAACAGAATAAAAAGAAATAAAAATTTATGAACAGTCGCACAGGGCCCTGCATATGTGACTTGCTATTAGGCATAATAAGGTGCACGGCATTTTAGTCTTGGGCCCTGTCCGAGGTGGTTTGTTACTGGATGAAGTGGGAGGACCTTGTGAAAACACAGGTTTGCCTAAAACATGGTCCCAGACCTGGACCCAGAGAGCAATGTTACAGGGATGTTCCAATATGGTTGTAAGAAGGGGGTAGAGTTCTCATTTCATTCTCTGTTCCAATTCTTGCTTTGAACAAATGGGTAGCCTGAATTAGTCTCCTTTTTAAAAACAATTGTTTTGTTTGGTGAAGATGAGAACAGCCACATCAGCTCTAACGGAGGAAGGACAATTTCTAAAGGTGAATATCCTTGGCTATGCAGTTGATTGCAGTCTTATTCAAATTTAACCTGAGCCACCTATCATTTTAATTATAGAAATTAGAGGCCTCAAATCAGAAACACCCTCAAATTTCCTTGAATGGTTAAAAAGGATCTCTCTTTCACTTCTGTAAAATTTCATTTGGGAAAGGACGGGGAAGTGGGGGGAGTTATGACCAGAAAGCATGGAGACCGTGAATTCCTAATGTTGGCTCTGCACAGTTAGTGCCTTGCCACTTCTTATGCAACCTCACCAGCAGAACCAGAAAGGTAGCATGTCTGTAGAAATTGCTCCTCCCCACTCCTCCACCCCCACCTCCCACCGGCCTGGGAAAGTCAAATTGTCCGCGGAAAAATACATTTTAATATTGAAAACAATCTTCTGATTGGACTGTGGCAAATTCTCGAAGCTGCCATGTAGGAATCTTTTACAGGAGCTTTAAAATTCTATAGATCAGGTGCTTTATGATTTATAGAAAATAAAAAATAAAGCTGGTGGCTTGAGTTAAAAAACATTTAGTCAGGCCTGCCTATGATCTCCTTAACATTAACTAAGAATACGGCTCGCGTTCCACCATTATCCTTGGGTTGTGGTGACCGTCAGAAGCTGGGCTCCATGAGAGACCGCTTCCTGGACTGGTCCTCCCCGCCCCACTAGCCTGTCTGTCCCCGCCCCCTTGCCGAGTCCTGTTTCTCAGGCGGAGAAGAGATCCCGCTACAGCCTAACTCAGGACTGCTGTGACGGACCTACTCCTTTCCTACCCTTCTTTGCTTCAGGATGTCGTGTGCAGTCATCGGTCCATCCTCACATTCTCTGCCCACAGTCTGTGTAGCTGTGCTGGAAGGGAACTTTTCCTGAGCCAGACTCTAGACCGTAAATATATGCAGACGGCTGAACCCTGTAAAGTGTTGTAAACTACAGGTCACGATGTAGTTTGGATACAGCCATTTACAAAAAGCAATGTAATTTTCAAATTCTCTCTGTTCTCCAAGCTCTGGAACTGAATCTTTCCCGAATCTTCTTTATATTGTGTAATCAAAAACTGGGATATTTGATCAACCTAAATTAATAAGAAAAATGATTCAGGATGATGTGCTGTCATTGAGATTTGCTCGGAAGATGTCAGAGAGTGGGCGTCAGCATGGGGAATCTCTGCGGATGCAGTGACTCGTTCCTTCTGACTGCCTTAAGACTTTCTTCTTCCTGTTACTGAGAGGAATGCATCCCAGACGCCTAGATCCCTCAGCATGTGAGTGGAATCACCAGCATGGAAACCAAAGGGACCGTCTGCCTTCTGGCCTGCCCTTCTGAAGAACTACAGGGCATTTACCAAACTGCTAGGCTCGTGTTTAGCATCAGGGCAATCGGAATTATGGGTAGATATAGGTCATTGGGTCAGGCATGCATTATCTTTAAGTCAGACAATTAAACTGAAAGAAAGCTGAGAATAGAAAATAGATCAGTGAAATAGCATGGAAGAAGGGGAAACAGACCAGTGCAGAATGGAACTGCTGGAAAAGCTAGAAGTGGTACTAAAAATCAGTGGGGAAAAGATAACTTACTAACTTAATGGTGTTGGAATGATTTCCAAGTAGAAAAAAATGCAACTGGATTTCTTCCTCATACCACACACACACATAAACATAAAAAAAAAAAAATTATAAAACAATTAGAAGAAAACAGAATTTCTTCGCTACCTCAAGAGTCATAATTCTTTCCTTTAAGTAGCAAAAAGTGCATCCTATAAAGGACAAGATTTATAGATTTGACAATATTGAAGTAAAAACTTCTATGTGACTGAATATAGCAGAGGTGGGGCCAGCATAAGGTGCTGGGGAGAATTTGCATCAGATGTAACAGGCAAAGGATTAACGTCCAAGCTGTATGAATAAAAAGAAAATACATAAAAGAAAAAAGAAGCTACTTTCGGGGCCCGGCCGGTGGCGCAGCGGTTATGTTTACACGTTCCGATTCTCGGCAGCCCGGGGATCGCCAGTTCGGATCCTGGGTGCGGACATGGCACCGCTTGGCAAAAGCCATGCTGTGGTAGGCGTCCCATGTATAAAGTAGAGGAAGATGGGCACGGATGTTAGCTCAGGGCCAGTCTTCCTCAGCAAAAAGAGGAGGATTGGCAGTAGTTAGCTCAGGGCTAATCTTCCTAAAAAAAAAAATAAGAAGCTACTTTTGAAACGTGCAAAGAATGGAGAAAGACAATTCAAACAAGGGTGAACCTAAATTGCCAATAAGCAAAGAAACAAAAAAAAACCCTCTTCACTTTACTAGTAATCAGCAAAATGCAAATAAAGACAAGGAGATACAATGTTACACCCAACACTGGCAAGATTAAATTAAGTTTGGTGATATAACATATGGGTGAGGGACAGGAGTTTCCATTCAGCTATTAGTATAGTGCATTAGTTCATTAGCATAGCCAACTTTCCAAAGCAATTAGCAGTTTCTAGTAGAACGTTTTTAATGGGTATAATCTATGACTCAGCATCACTACTTCTAGATTCCTTGTTTGTAGAGGTGAAGAATTGGAAACAACCCAAGAGTCCAATCAATACAGAACAAAAGCGACTTTCAAAATATTAAGCCACAAAGCAGAGAGCAGGCGCAGAACAATCAGAACAGCTGCTGCACATCGTCCAGCAGAGAGTCCTACGGGGTCGGGGCGGAGCGCTGGGGCGCTATTTTCACGGCAGCTACGGCTGTACCGGGCAGGATGCTGAGCGTTAGGTCCGGGTGAGGAAGAGTAGGAGTCAGGGGCAGGGGTTCTGCATTCGGCTTCTCTGGGGTTGACTTCTGGCTCTGTTGCTTATCAGCTGTGACATGTTGGACAAATTCCTACTTCTCTCTCGCTTTAGTTTCCTCATTCTGGACTCAGGTTATAACAATCCCTTCCTGGTAGATCTGTTGTGAAGATTAAGGGAGCTAATACATGGAAAGCTCTTAGAATACTTCCTGATGTGTGTATTGAGAAAGCACTCAGTGTACGCTGTAGGAAAATGGAAATGAACCAATAAAATATACTGTATGTTTACATGCTAGAATATCACACAGCAGTTAAAATGAATGAACCATGTGCATTAACCTGGGTACAGTTCAAAACACTTGTTGAGTGGAAAAAACCTGCAAAAATAACTTATATATGGATGCATAGGAGAGATGAAAATAGAGAAATACAGACCAGGAGGGTACCCCCCCCCAAACTAATGACATCGATTACATTTAGGGAGCAAGGGGGATGTGATGGGGAGGGTTACAAAGCAGATTTCAACTTTCTCAGTAGTGTTCTTTTTAATCTAAAAGAAAAGAAATTGGAAGCAAAATGACAAAATTATCAGCATTTGATAATTCTGAGTCATGGATAGACATTTGTAATATTCTCTGGACCTTTCTGTATGTTTAATTTCCTTTAAAAAATACGGAAATAAAGCCCAATGTGTGGCCATATGTCAGGAAGTCACTAGTCCAGCTGTGCCTCTCGTTAGCGTGTGGCTTTGAACCAATCAAAGCTTTCGAGATCTCAGTTTCCTCCTCTGCAAAATCTAGTGAAGAGCACTATTTATTGCAAGGAGGGTGTTTGGGGAATTAAATGATCTTTGGGGGAAATTGTATAAAAGCTAAACTTCTATTCAAATGTTAGTTAAAATTGGGTTGTTGGGTTGATAATCCCTGAGACTTGTCTTGTTTTAGTGGGACGGGCTTGTGGAGCGTTCTGAGGAAGGAGCGGGGTGATGGGTATGAAGGCCTTGCTCAGGACTGGCACTCAGCTTGTGGCAGAGATACGGGACCTGCTCAGTCCTGAGTCTCCTCGTCCTCACAAGCGGAGCTCTGCTTTTATTCCAGGTGGTGATGTGCCTAGAAAAAGAGAGACATTTCCTCGTCTCCTGGAAGTAGGAGCAGTTGGTTGGTTTTCTAGAAATCTTCACAAAGGCTGCCTCAGCTGGGAGAGGTGCCTTTTTGCCCTTCCTCTACCTCTTTTTTCTCTCTCGGAAAGCAAAGACGATGGCTGGCATTCCTACAGCCATCTTGGACCATGAGGTGACCTTGAAGATAAGATATAAGCTTTGCGCTAAACACGTTGGAGAAGAAAGATGAAAAGCATCTGGTCCCTGATGCCTGTGGAGCTGCCTTTACTGCCTCGGGCTGCCCACTTCAGGCTTCTTTTATGGGAGGGAAAATAAACTTGTAAGTTACTCAGTCGCTTATTTGGGCTACTGTTACATGCAGCTGAACCGAACCCTAACTGATACATTTTTGTTATTCTGAAGATGCTTTGAATAGGTAAACTAGAAAAGAGAACCCCGGTCGCCGCCGCCTGCCCCGCCGCCTGCCCCTCTGCCTGCTCTGGGAGGAGAGACTCAGCTGTTCTGCCTCTTCCTCAGCCGCCTCCTCGTTGCTGCGTTTTCCTGCATTTAATGATTGTAAAAGATAAAGAAACAGAATTTGAATGACCTCATTTCTGTCATGGTATGTGAACATTTCGAGTGTTTCTTTGGGTTTAAAATTT